TGGTTTTAGTCCGCAAACGAACTATACCGACCGAGCGACCGCCGCTTGCCGGCGAAGTTAGTGCCACCTTTAGCCGATAGAAGGTGTCGCGTGGTCAGCGCAACGAATCCCCACGGCCGTTAATTTCGGTTTTCTAGACCGGAGCCGCCATTTCCTTGAAATAGCTCCTGAATTATCCTCACGCGGCTGAGTGGATCCCGCTCCAGACCCACTAACTACTTCTCGGAAAATATGGTAGCGCTAGGAATCAAACCAGAACCTCTGGATCTGTAGTCAGGAACTCTAACAACTAGACCACAGAGGCAGTCAAATAGCGAATGTAGGAAATTAAAGTGTAAGAACTTTATATGACCTGCAACGACAAGACGTGAAATCTTACATTTTAATACTTCTAATATTTAGTCTTAGCAGTCTGCATATGGCGTACTTTTTTCCGGTTTTACTCTTACCAATAATCCAGGGGGAAGCGAGCAGATGTTTGAGTAACCCACTATTCCCTTGCTGGCCCCCCATTACAATGTCCATGGGCAGGTTCCTATGTGTATGGGCCGTTGTAGTTTTTTATTGTAACCCTTATCCTTATAGCCGCGCCATAGCTAAAGCGGTTAGTCGCTGGCTTCTCACCGCGGCGGCCCGGGTTCGATCCCGGGTCTGGTCAAGTGGGATTTGTGGTGGACAACGTGGCGCTGGGGTGGGTTTCCTCCGAGTACTTCGGTTTCCCCTGCCAAAATCTCCATTATCAAAATCACCCGGGGCAGGTACAATAGGCCAATCAGTGGCCGTCGTGCTGAGTGAACCCAGCTAGACTCCACCCCCCACTAATTAACGCTTGTCCTTAAATTTGGTAGTTGAAATATTTGTTTATTTTACCCCACTCATGCTATGCCAAACTCTCTTATCTTCACTCATCACTGCAAGAGGAAACACTATGTGATGTGCATATATTTTTGCGTTTCTCGTCAAGTATGTTTCCCTACTGTCGGCTCAACTTAGTTGCCTTACATGCAGACAGCCTATATTCCTCTACTCACTTTCGAATTCCTTCAAAGTGTGTCTTGTTTAAAAAACAATCGAATTTGGATGTCCAGCGCCTACGTCAAAAATACTCCAAAATGCTTTTCTTTATTCAAATGTCGTTTTGACACGCACTTTCACCAAAGACACTTGAATACACATAAAATTAAGTTACTCACGTTATAAGCTGCGCCATAACTCAAGCGGTTAGTCGCTGGCTTCCCACTGCGGCGGCCAAGGTTCGATCCCTGGTCTGGTCAAGTGGGATTTGTGGTGGACAAAGTGGAGCTGAGGCAGATTTTCTCCGAGTATTTCAGTTTCCCCTGCCAATCTTCATTCCACCAATTGCTCCACAATCACCCTCACCTATCATCTAGGGCTAGTACAATAGTCCAGAAGTGACCGCAGTACAAGGGACTTAGTCCCGCCCCACTAGCAATAAAAAATAATACTTCATGAAAGTGAAGATGGTTTCTTTCACCGACAGTATTTTGTTTCCTTGACACTACAGCCCCAGTGGGCCTAGGCCTACCTCCATGTACTTCTCCGTTCACTTCGGTTATTCTAGATCTTACACATTCGGTAGGACTCCTTGGGCGGGTGATCAGCTCGTCGTAAGGCCTCTGCCTGTACACAAACCCAGATAAACGCACACACACAAACTAAACATCCATGTCCTGAGTAGGATTCGAACCTACGATCCCGGTTTCCAAGCGAGCGAAGACAGTGCATGCCTTAGACCGCTCGGCTACCGTGACCGGCCACCGACAGTATCAGTAGAAATACTCGTAATTTAGGTCTCTTGTGCCTAATAACCTGTATTGAACGAGAAATATATTTCCTGCAAACAGTAAAGTGAGTGATGTGAGCGAAAGAGCATCATGATCAAAATAACCACTTCACTGGATGCAAACCCTTAAATCCTCGAAAGAAGAGACGAAGGAGGGGCAGTAGTTACAAGGATGTTAAGCGATGCCGGAAAGGAGTCTGAAAGCAACTAGACAGATCTGCAGATGGAAGGCACGGAGGTACTACATCTCGTACATGACTGAAAATCCTTGGAGGGAGACACGAGTGACTGATAACAGACATTGATCTGCAAGCCATAGGTGAACAATCATTAATCGACAATTATGAAAATGTAAACATCTTATTATGCGTAAAAGGACGCTAATGAATGTAGCAATTAATGGATGGGAATTGGAGAAGCCGGCGTCCTCATTGTTGCGTGACGCTCTGCATGTGCCGAGTAGTGATGACTGGGACTTCAGAGCAGCGACCGACCTCATGTTACGGGTCACCACTCGCTAGAGTTCGCGATAACATCAATATAATGGTAGAATGAAGGGAGTTACAATTGTTTATCCCCAACGCCCCCAGCAGCGAGTAAGTATAGCCTAGTCTTGTGCGACTGTTTTCGTAATGTGTAGTGCGTTCACGGATTCTTCTGATATATTCCACGTTATGGAGAACATAAGAACATTGTAGGATCCGTGAAAATAAGGTGAAGGTCGCTTATTCGAGAACCAAGATTAAATAAATCTGTTCGATGGCCATATTCACTAAATTGTAAATAAAATTGTGTTCAGAGCGAAATTTCCATTTCCTTTTTTTTTTTTCCCCCGGAAATTAATTTGATTTCTTCAGTTGTTGGATGCCCGGCAGAATTAATTTGTAGGGAACGGAGAAGGGAGTTTGGCACAAAGAGACAGGGACAGTACCCATACCTCAAACGGGGCCGGAACTCACGGTCTCAGTGATCAAGCGAGATTGTACCTTTCGTGAAATAAGACCTCGAGGCGTATTCTTGCGACGTCACTTTATTACTCGACGACGTAACTATAACACAAAATGTGGAACAAGTCGTTTCACAGTCGGCCCTTTCGTGTTAACAACCCTCACTAGACTGTAGAACTGTAAACTCCCAAGTCCAAGTCACATTGAGACTGACGGTTAGTCAGTCAGTAAGTCTTGGTGTCGAGCCTCATCTGAGGCTCATGATCAGATATTTATTACTGTTTGGCATTTACGGTCTTGTTTTTGTATGGCGCCCTCTCTAACGAGAGGACGGGTCTTTCTTTTACATATGCTGCTGGCCCTTGCCAGCGCGGTCTTTCTCGGGTCCGAGTCCCTTGGTACTCGCGACCATATTTTACTGTCTCAGATTTGAGACTTCCTTTTTCGTCGCCTCCTACGACTCGCAGGGTCACAGTGGAGGTATTCGACCCGTCCTCCGCACGGGGTTTCTGTAAACCAAGC